TACATTTTAAAACCAATAAACTCACCTCACAATTCTAGGTTAAGACAGAATTTCATCTGTATCCAAGTCGACTGGGATTATCAGTCGCATAAAGGTACACTATCTGTAAACTATATCCAAATACAAGTTGACCCGGATTATCAGTCGCATGGTACACACTCTCTCTCTCTCTCTCTCTCTCTCTCTCTCTCTCTCTCTCTCTCTCTCTCTCTCTCTCTCTCTCTCTCTCTCTCTCTCTCTCTCTCTCTCTCTCTCTCTCTCTCTCTCTCTCTCTCTCTCTCTCTCTCTGTAAATCAGATCCAAGTCGGCCCAGATTATCAATAGCAGGGTACATTATCTGTTAACTAGATCCAAGTCGATCCGGATTATCAATAGCAGGATACATTATCTGTTAAGTAGATCCAAGTCGATCCGGATTATCAATAGCAGGGTAAAGCTAACTGTAAACTAGATCAAAGTCGCACCTGCTTATCAGTCGTAAGGTACACTATCTGTAAATTATATCCAAGTCGACCCTGAAATCAGCAGCATGGTACACTGTCTGTAAACTAGATCCAAGTCGGCCCAGATTATCAGTAGAAGGGTAAAGCTAACTGTAAACTAGATCCAAGTCGGCCCAGATTATCAGCAGCAGCGTACACTGTCTGAAAACTAGGTCCAAGTCGGCCCAGATTATCAGTAGAAGGGTACAGCTAACTGTAAACTAGATCCAAGTCGGCCAGGATTATCAGCAGCAGCGTGCACTGTCTGTAAACTAGGTCCAAGTCAGCCAGGATTATCAGTAGAAGGGTACACTGTCTGTAAACTAGGTTCAAGTCGGCCCAGATTATCCGTAGAAGGGTACACTGTCTGTAAACTAGATCCAAGTCGGCCCAGATTATCAGCAGCAGCGTACACTGTCTGAAAACTAGGTCCAAGTCGGCCCAGATTATCAGTAGAAGGGTAAAGCTAACTGTAAACTAGAGCCAAGTCGGCCCAGATTATCAGTAGAAGGGTACACTGTCTGTAAACTAGGTCCAAGTCGGCCCAGATTATCAGTAGAAGGGTAAAGCTAACTGTAAACTAGATCCAAGTCGGCCCAGATTAGCAGCAGCAGCGTGCACTGTCTGTAAACTAGGTCCAAGTCAGCCCAGATTATCAGTAGAAGGGTACACTGTCTGTAAACTAGGTTCAAGTCGGCCCAGATTATCAGTAGAAGGGTGCACTGTCTGTAAACTAGGTCCAAGTCGGCCCAGATTATCAGTAGAAGGGTACACTGTCTGTAAACTAGGTCCAAGTCGGCCCAGATTATCAGTAGAAGGGTAAAGCTAACTGTAAACTAGATCCAAGTCAGCCCAGATTAGCAGCAGCAGCGTGCACTGTCTGTAAACTAGGTCCAAGTCAGCCCAGATTATCAGTAGAAGGGTACACTGTCTGTAAACTAGGTTCAAGTCGGCCCAGATTATCAGTAGAAGGGTACACTGTCTGTAACCTAGATCCAAGTCGGCCCAGATTATCAGTAGAAGGGTACACTGTCTGTAAACTAGATCCAAGTCGGCCCAGATTATCACTATAAGGGTGCACTATATTCTTAACTCAGGGGCATAATTATTTTCTTTTCCGACATTTTTACGTCAATGTTATTTACATACAGACGTCTGAACATTGTCGTGCCACTAGGTTCAGACAGGACAGATTAAGAGAATAAATGTGACTGCGTAACTTAAATCAAACTCATGTATAGGACATTAAATTATTTCCCTCACTTAAATCCAACTCAAGTGTATGACATTGAATTATTTCCCTCACTTAAATCCAACTCAAGTCTATAATATGAAATTATTTTCCGCACCCTGATCCATCTCAAGTATAGGACATTAAATTACTTTCCTCACTTAAGTTCAACTCAAGTATATGACATTAAATTATTTCCCTCACTTAAATCCAATTCGTGTATCGGACATTTAATTATTTCCCTCCATTACTCGACATGCAGCGGCGGTCAAGTAGCAAGTATAGATGCATCGGGAGCTGTAGTCGCAAACCTGTACACAGGCAGCTCAAGTGATAGGTTTACTTTTCAGTGCACTGAATGAAGCATCCTTCTGGGTGACCGAGGAGATTTTTTATTATCACGCTGCTCACCTCTGTAGCATGAGGAAGAGGGGCTATAAAAGGTACCCAATACATGGCCCGCTTCATCTTACCCTGGTCTGCATACCTAGGCTGATGGGGATACCAACCTAGATCCCTACCTAGCGATCGAAAACCTAACACGAAGACAAACGTGACACAACCCACTTTCGTTGCATGGAATGTGCGCTCACTATTGGACAATATATTAATAGATCGACCAATGAAAGCTTCTCGATCTGGTAGAGAACAGGAAAGGTTCGATGCCCAGACAACAGCACTAATGAACCCTATCTTATCTGAAGGCCAATTTACCGAATCAGGAGCCGGTTACACCATCTTCTGCAATAACCAAAGTAAAGGAAGTAACTTGAAGCTGGTATGGGTGTTTTCAATATCAAATCAAAACAAATCAGCAAACTCACAAATCACCAAAAGATTCGAATGAGCACCTGTTAAGAAATGGTTCTGGTCATTTAGCGACCGCCACAGTCTTCCATCGTAGGGAGAAAGGTGATATGGTCATCTACTATTGGGTAAGTGGTCTTACGGAGTACATCTCAATGGATCAAATAACGCATTAGTTTAAAAGGCATTAAGCACCAATTGTAAGGTCGAACTCTCGTTTCGTTTGCGAAAAAATGACAAGGGTTATGTCATCACAATGGCTACAGATAAACCAGTCATTCATTTATTCTCCTATTCATCATCATATATATGAGATAAAAAGAGTACAATTTTCAAGGTGGGGAGCTAGGATAATGTAACACCAAAAGCTTGAATAGTTATATAACAGAGTAGTGAATACTGTGAAGCAATGAATAGTTATGTAACAGCGTAGTGAATACTGTGAAGCAATGAATAGTTAAATAACAGCGTAGTGAATACTGTGAAGCAATGAATAGTTATGTAACAGCGTAGTGAATACTGTGAAGCAATGAATAGTTATATAACAGCGTAGTGAATACTGTGAAGCAATGAATAGTTATATAACAGCGTAGTGAATACTGTGAAGCAATGAATAGTTATATAACAGCGTAGTGAATACTGTGAAGCAATGCCATCGGTGAGCTAACCCGGCGGAATAATCTTTAAGTTTATTCATTCACCTACTATAGTTTTGTTAGTTATCCTTTCCAAAACTTTAAAAAGGACAATTGCACAACAATCTCATTAACAACAAAACAAAACGGAAATAAGCAAAACAAACTTAATAAATTCCGTGTGTTTCAAACGTTAATTCCTGCAAACAAACGTATACAACATCATTAAAAATATTATTTTAAACAAATACTCACAGGCATGTCGCATAATTTGTAAAGAAATGTGAACTTTTCTTTTTTTTTTCAATTTTAGCAACAATTCTTTTCAGTACAAGTACGCTTTCGTTCATTGTAGACCTGTTTTTTACGTGAAAATTTTTGAATGTGTTTCGCAAATTGATTTTGAGATATATATGTTTATAATAATTTTTTTTATCCAATCTATGTTTACACATTGTATCTATATATCACTGATGGAATAACAATTCTTTTATATATACATTCAATAGTTAAGGGGTTTAATTTGCATTCTGTTTTCCCAATCCCGATAAGGGGATCTAGTGATTATCTCCCTTGTGATCATGCCTACTTTGTTTGCTAAGCAACTTGTGTCAGAGTTCACATGGGTATCTGTAAGCTCGTTTGTTCGGGAAATCGGAATAATTTTTGGACCAATTTTCCACTTGAGATTAAAGTCTTTAATCTGTCTCTTATGTTTAAAAACAAAAATGCAACTCTTATCTTGTTGAATTTAAGATTCCAGACTACTGAATACAAGTGAGAGATATCAAGAATTGTTTGTAAATGTGCAGGGGATGTCATTTTAAGAGTGATAACATCAACCAACGTAAAGACTGCAGAGAGAATTGATCGTACGATTATTTCCTGTATGTGATCTTATGGAAACTATTAACATATAATTATATAGTTATATCTATGCTACAGATTTTGTGTCATTTATAAATAGAAATCTCTCTCTCTCTCTCTCTCTCTCTCTCTCTCTCTCTCTCTCTCTCTATATATATATATATATATATATATATATATATATATATATATATATATATATATATATATATATATATATATATATATATATATATATATATATATATTAGATAGATATTACAGTATGATTCCTTAATTACAGTAAGATTTTGCAAGTTATTCCCATGAGGGCATGAGGGCACGTTTTATGAAAAGTATCGCGTGTCATACGGTGTCAAATGTTTACCGTACGTCCCAAAGCGCGGCAGTGACTTTTGATTGCATGTAATTATGTGTTAGCGAATAGCTTCGTGTAGGTTAAATGATGCCGATAAGTTCGATATCTTCTGTTGAGTATTCGGAAAGTGTTGTTTCTCTGTTTCCCTGATGGTCGATTAATCTCCTGCCTGTACAACCAACGCTGTGATTGAAAGTCAGTGAGAGAGATAGCGAACTTTGGACATTTTAATATTTTAAAATAAACTTTTTTTGGATCTTTGTTATAACTTTTAAGGCGTTAACTAGATTACAATATAGCTATGCCCCCTAACTAAGAAAATAAGGGCAGTCTCCACTAGTAATTGCAACTTTGTATCATTTGTATTGTAAACACTGTACAAACATCCCATGGGGTGTGAGTAATTTAGATTTTTAACGTGGATTTAACATTTTTTCATTCATATAGCTACGATGTCTGCAGTGGGACAATTTATGGTGATGTCTAGCAAACAGGCATCATGCCACAGACATGTAGTATCATGTCCCACCCAGTCACATTATCCTGACACCAGGCCGACCAGTCCTACACTAACCTCCAAGAGAGACACCCGTTAGTACCATTTTTAAATGTCTTTGGCATAACTTGGCCGGGGATCAAATCCACGACCTCCAGCTTTCGAGGCAAACGCTCTAACCAATTAGGCTACCGAAGCGATCAATAAATCCCATGGAAAGTGTACACATACCGTTATTAAGAACCAGGTTCTTGTAGGTTACTTGGTGGAGACAAACAGACAGAAAGACAGATGAAAACGGATATTACTGATATCTTTTCTCTCGATATTTTTGTGTCATTAATGATTAATCAATGGAAATTCGTTACATGTCCAGAGACTATAGAAGCGATAGCCTACCGTCGGAACAATGTTTATATATGCATATTAATGCGCCAAGGGCGGATCACAATTCGATAAATCAACAGTGTTAGTATATCAAATTGCTTTATACCAACACTTTAATCTTGAAACCTTAGTTAGCTGTCGATGCACAGCGTGCTGTGATTACATACATATATAGATACATACATACATAGATACAGACATACATAGATACAGATATACAAACATACATACATACATACATACATACATACATACATACATGCATGCATGCATGCATGCATGCATACATACATACATACATACATACATACATACATACATACATACATACATACATACACATACATACATACATATATATATATATATATATATATATATATATATATATATATATATATATATATATATATATATATATATATATATATATATATATATATATACGTGCAGGCTCGTTCAAATGTAACAAAGAGTGAAGCCAAAGCCAACAAGATCTGCAAACTTTAACAAAATAAATTATTTCCCTCAAAAGAAGCAAAAACTTGAAAAAGGACTTATAATTTGCGAATATCATCCAAACAATTAATCTTTGAATCTTAAAATATACGTCCTATCACTAAAATGTTCTAATTTAATCCAGGTTCAAATTTCGATGAAATTCCAAGATGGCGGACGATGACATCAGATGAATGCACTATCGATGTGTGAATTCGTTGAATTTTTTTGAATTAAAAATAATTTTCCAGCTTTAGAACTGTGAAGAATTTCTACTAAATATCTTTGTCCAAGAATTTGATGAAGAGAATGTTCCAGGATGAATAAATTATTTTAAATAATAAACTAAATTCAAACGGCAACAGCAAGAATATCTTGAGCCCGAATGTATATTTTTACGACTGAATAATCCGGTTAAAAAAAAAATCTGTTTAAAGTGGCGCTCTACAGTTTCGTATTTAGCATAGGGTTAAAATTTTTTTAAAAAAAGAGTTTCCTCGGGTTTCCTCACTAGTTATACTGGTTATTTAAAAGAGACTTTGTATATCTTAGGTGTTGTTCAAAGAACCTTTAATTCCCTTTATTTTGATGTATGATTGATGGATGTAATATGGGTTAGAGAGTATACAGCTTGGCCTTACTCCAGATGTGCACCTTTCAAAAAAGTGCTAGCTCTACTTGCTCATTTTCACTTCTCGAACTTCAGAGGTAAATTATAAAAAAAGAGCCGATAACTTTTTTTACATTTTATGTATTTGGTAATTCAGTCATTGCACTTTTAGAAGCTGGTATTATCTAGTTTGGCAAAATTCATTTTCCATATTTTAATAGCTGCCAAGAATAGTGTACTTTAGACAAATTTAGGTTGATTTTTGGAGCACAAGGGATCAGTCATTTTAGTTAGCAGTGTCCTAAGATCATTTAAAATTTCCAAAAGTACAATATCCAAAGAAATTTCATCCACATTACATGAAAATAGTATATAGGTATGCCAACATTCTCTCCACTGTAAATGTTTAAAATGCAAACAACTTCACCTTACATACATCACTTTCTAAAAAGTACATAATAACTGGTGAGGGCCACCTAACCCAAGATTTTAGATCACATGATGGCTCACGTGACGGGGTTACGTGATTTGAACAGCGCAGTAAAAACAATGCCATTTAGCTCGTAGCCTAGAATGGCCCTATCTAAAAGTCAGATTCTTACTCTAGAAATGAATAATAAAAAGGCTGTTTACAACATGGCTAATACATGGGCCGAACACGACTTTGGGAATAACCAAACATTTTACTTTAGTGTTTACAAATCTCTCAACCAAAGGTGAGCTAAAATAGGAATAAAGAAACACTTTTGCGTTCTAATCAGGTCAACCCACAAGACTGAATTTTCCACCAAAAAATATCAAATCACGTGAAAATTATCAGTACAATTAAATGTATTGGAAACAAAAATAACATAAAGAAACTTAAAACTACGACATAAATAATTTAATTACATATACATAACACTTTCCCCATAAAGAAAAATAAAGATTTATGTAATAAAGCTTTCTTTATCCCAGATGTAAATTTTACATGAGGTAAAACAAAACTACTCAAGAACACTCCTATGAATTATACAAAGTGCACATGATATAATATTTCTATACACTGGAAAGTGCAACTGTAATCAAATTGTCTCTCCCGTGATGTGCCTGATGTCAATATTATATTCTTGTAAAATTAAACTTTACCTTAATATCTTTTTAAATTTTTCTTGTCGATGAAAGTAAAGGGCTTGTAATCACTAAACACAACAAACGGTGAAGGGGTTCAACTAATGTAAACTTCAAAAAACTGTAATGCCAATATTAAAGCCAAAGACTCCTTCTCATTTGTTGAGTAATTTCTTTTAATGCTTATTTAATTTCTTGAAGAAATAACACACTGGATGATCAACACCATTTCTATCTTCTTGAATCAATACTGCTCCAACCCCAACATTACTTGCATCCACAGATAATTTAAATGGCTTTTTGAAGTTTAGAGCTATAAGAACTGGTGCAATTTTAATTATGGCTTTTAACCTATCAAAAGCCTCCTGACACTCCTCTATCCAAAGAAACATATTTTTCTTGCTCAGTAAGTTTGTCAGTTGTTCAGCAATATTATAAGAATTGGAACACAAAAATTCTGATAGTATCCATCCATACCTAAACATTATCATCGTTGCTTTTTACTGATAGACACGAAGAAATCAGAAAAAGCCCTGACCTTAGCTCTTATATGTTTAGCTTGACCATGTTTCATAAAATGTCATAGAAACGTTACACAAGCACGACATAGTTCACGTTTAAATAAATTGATTGTCAAATTTGAAACACTGAGTATGTCAAAGAATTTCCAAATTGTTGCTAAGTTTCATTTCAGATCTCGTTGTAGATGATGACATCATCAATGTAAGCATCACAATTATTTAGATCAGAAGTAATCATATTCATCAAACGTTGAAAGGAACATGGAAAACCCTTTATACCGAACGGCATTACTTTATATTAATAGAGTCCATCTGGAGTCACGAATGCCGAAATTTACTTTGTCCTTTCCGTTAGTGGAATTTGCCAAAATCCTTTCAGAAGGTCAAATTTGGTAACATACTTAGCATTTCCAATTTTGTCAACACAGTCATTGATTCTTGGTAATGGAAATGGATTTTTTCTGTCACACTATTCACCCTTTTATAAGCAGTGCACATACGAAAAGTTTCATCTGGTTTCGAAACAAGTATACTTTGTGAACTCCAATCACTTTTACTGGGCTGTATGAAATCATTCTCCAGCATATATTGAATTTCCTTTTTCAGATATTCTTTTTTAAGAGGGTTCATCCTGATCGGGTGTTGTTTCATAGGTTTAGAATTCACAATTTCAACGTCATGAAAAATTGTATTTGTCTTTGTAGGAATATCTGAAACAAGTGCTCATATTCAAATAATAACTGTTTAAGTTTATTCCTTTCTTCTTGATGTAAATGCAAACGTTTTTGGTCCAGATTTTTTCAGAATTTCTGAATTCTGAAGATTTGTTGTTCCACGAGCAAGAGAGAATGAACTCTATTACATGGCTCAAATGTTTTCTCCATTGAAGTTTTGCGAATTCTTTGTTTCACTTTTGACTTGCATTGCTGAGTAACAAAATTCAAACATGACTAGGTGGATAATTCCAGACATAAAATTTGACCCTTGATCCGATTGGACAGATTTACGAAGGCCAAATTGAATAATAAAAATCTTTATCAAATATTTTATTATCTATTTGGTTTTAATATTCCCCAAAGGATTTAATCTGTTAATCTTGTTGACGCATACGTATTGTTCAACAAGCATTGGTTACCTAACTTGGTGTTAGGTAAGAGACCAACACTATCTACCATTATTCTGCTAAATGGTTCGCCAAATGCAGGAATATGTTGCAGATGAGCCTTAGGTGTCTTCTTATTGGGTTTTCCTACCATTTGTCAAAAGTGATTTATAATGATCACTTTTGACTTTGGGTCAATAAAAGTGAATCAAGATCTTGTGATAAGTCTTATTAATACCTAAATGACCATCGAGAGGAGTATCATGAGCTAAACTAAGTATTTCCTCTCTGTAAGATCTTGGAACTACAATTTGATTGTTTACTGACCACTTGTCACTATCAGGTACCTTGAGAGGTTTCCATTTTCTCGTAAGAATTTCATTTTATTGAAGTAACAAAAAAGAACTTCAGTGGCTTCAGTTTCACTAATGGCAGTCTGAAACAAACAAGAGATTTCAGGATATTTTCCTGTTCGACGACAAGTGATTGTCGTTTATCATCCTGATTAGATAAAAGAGAATGCGTATTTAATAAAGGATCAATGTGATTAGTACCGTTATATTCACCCGAACAAGGAGTGAATGTGACCTCATCGAAAGATCAATACATGTGTCAGCTAAAGGAATATTTTCATTATCAAAATCATTCTTAAGAGCTTTCTTTGCCATAGCTCTGGTAACTGCACATGCTGGGTATAAATCATGGAATTCTTTTCCAATAGGATCAACTTTCTGATCCAAAGACGGCTTGTCAGTTACAAGTGGATTAACCAAAACTTTGTCTCCAGCTAGGTCGTTGCTTGTTAGCAAATAAAATAAAAAGTTCTGATTGAATCCAGGTTCGAATCTTAATGAAGTTCCAAGATGGCAGACGATGACGTCAGATGAATACAGTATTAAACTGATGTGTCAACAGTTCCTCTTTGATTTTTTTTTGAATTAAGAATAATATTCTGACTTTAGAATTCTGAC